ATCAATTAATAATTTTCTGAATTAATATTAATTTCTATTAATTAATATTAATAATAATTATTTATTAATATTTTGTTTATAGTTAATAGAAATTACTAATAATTAATATTAAGAAAATATATTAAAATAGCCATTTGTCAGGATCGGTTTCACCTTCTAGTCATTTTCTCTCTTCAAGTATATTAAAATAGTTATAGGTCCGTAAAACCCACGTTTACAATTGCGAATATAGTTAAAAGACAAAAAAAATTACATTTTCTACCTTATCCACAAAAAATATTACATTTTTCACCTACTTGCGTAAAAAAATTTACATTTCTCACACAGGTCTGCATTTTTTAAAATTACGGACCTATGGCTATTTTGGTAAACCTTGTATTAATAAGGGTTATAATGGAAAAAGTGACAAAAAGCTCTTCATAAGCTATTCGAACTAGCGTTTCAATAAACTAGTTTACGTCTATCCAAATGTGTACCCAAAAAATCAATTGGCTTATAAGCTAGCTTATTTTCTGCGTACACGAAAATATTTCATAAACCAAAAAAGAATAAAAAATCAAAAGAACTAGAATACCTCCAAGTTCAAGGGAGAGTTTTTAATAAACTTGATTTCAGGGACGAAAACAACAATAAATTACAAATCATAAAGACGAAAATCAAAATTTCAAAACGACAGAAAAAAAAAATCCACAATCTTTAATAAACTATAGGAACGAAAATCAAAGTTTACTCTTTTTTATAAGAACTTAGGGGTCGTTTACCTAATCATTTACCCGGTAAGTGCTTACCCGTGAAATTCAATATTATCGTTTACTTACCAGGTAAGATTTTAGTCCATGGAAACAACATCATATGCAATAATTTACCCGGTAAGCACTAACCGTGGTAAGAGCTTTCACTCTCACTTACCGGGTAAGACTTTCGTTCTTTGTTTCGTTCTTATCAGGTAAGATTCTTGGTCATTACCATCTTCATTCGGTAAGGTAACGTAACTTGATAAGCCCTTACCCGAGTAAGCATTCGGTAAACGGCCCCTTAGATCTTCTAATTTCTTACCTTAAACTTGGTGTGAGATGATATTTTGTTAGTTTTTTTTATGTATTTTCTTGACTTTTATATCCTCTGTAGTTATTAATATGTGTTTATTTATTTAGCTTATATCATACATAGGTTTTTATAAGAACTACCATCGTGGAGTTTTGTATAGGTTTTAAATTTGATAAGTTGAAAATGATGTAACAACAAAAGATTGGTTCTTAAAAGAATTTCCATTAGAAATGATCTGAAACCCACCCATACTTTTCTTATTTTTACATCATCAATATATGACATGACCTGATTTTAACATAAAAACAACTTATTGACTTATTCCGATATAACATTGGTAATAAGCACTTTTGAGTGTTTGGATAAACAACTTATACTGGTGTCAAACCGGTAATAAGAAATTTTTGAAAAAGTTAAACCCTTCTAACTTATAATAAATTGATAAGTATTTTTATAGAAGGGAAAAGTCTAAAAAAACCCAATGGACTTTAGTGTTTGGAATGATTAAGTCTTTGGATAATTTTTGGAACAAATAAGTCATTGGACATTCCAAAACATGTTAAATAACTC